GTAATCTTCAGCTTCAAAGTCGGATTGTTAATCATGCTCTTTGACTTTTAGCTCTGTGCACAACAGACGCATGTGGCTGGGAAATCGTAATGTAGATGAATTTTGCTGTCCAAAAAGCGTTCTAGTTTCCTCAACGTTGTTTAGAACTGTCTTTTTCGCATAAAAGCAACGCAATACATATAATTTCGGGTAATTTCAATTGGAGGAAAAGGGGCGGTTATTGCAGTAGAGGAAATAGTGTGACTTTTCGTGATGATCTGATTTTTTATCACCGAAAAATTCAATCCACATATTTACGCAACTTACGCCCAATTTTTCCGAATATTGTAGATATGGCTAATTCACAGTTAATCAGTGGTAAAGGTATATGCATTATTTTCAGAAGAAAATTGACGGCTTTATTTTTTGGCATATCTGTGAGAATTATGTGTTGTTAAAGTTTACAATCTCTTGAGATTCTTAACTTCTCTTAGACAAATCAACGCTCAGAACCATACACATCGCATTTTTGTAAACCTTTAGAAAAGTTCTTTTCTTGCTAATCAGCTATGCATCTTTTTCCCATTCTAAACATTTTCGAACGTGACATCTATGAGCAACATTGGCGGGGGTTGTTCATAGTCCTCTTTTAGAATTATGTTGCCGTAGTAATTATCAAGTATGGAGTAGTACTTTTTGAGTATCAATTATTTTGACCGATAACCAAGAGAATTAGCAGGCTTACCGTCTCTTAAAAGCTTGAAGTCTTATGGTATCTTGCAAGAACCGGAGCTCTTTATGATATCATGATTCTCAAATAAGCCTCAAACCTGTTCATCTCCTTTTTCAGTCTAAACCGAGTCCAGCACAGTCGTCCTGTGGAGCGCTACCTAGGAAGAGGAAATCTAATGGTGTACGGAAATTAACAAACGAAGAATCTGTCAGGAAAAGTGGAAGGTTGGATGCAAGTGTCCTTCTTTGAGTTTTCTTCTGGCTCTACGAGAATTTTAAATAAGCGATGAACTGTCTTTAGATGCTGACCTGTGGTTGATTCTGTAAATAGAGTTTTTTTTTTTTTGCAGAATAACACGGACATGTGATCCATCTACGGCAGATTTCGTTGACAACTATGTCGATTC